AATGAGTATGTTTAGAAAGTTCAAGATCTAGTACTCGTGGGCCAGAACTATGTTCGTGGGTCAAAAAGGAACCTCTGTATAGCTTATATAACATCAAAAGGAGTCTATAAGTTTATATTGTTTTAAACCTTTTGAGGACCCTCTGACCAGAAATGAGTTTAATAGGTCAGATATGGACATTCTATAGGGCTTAAGAAGCATCAGAAGGAGTTTATGAGTATGTATAGAAAGTTCAAGATCAAGTACTCGTGGGCCAGAAATATGTCCAGTAGGTCAAATATCTGTCTGGCTATAATAATATGATAAGAGGTCATTCTGTACAGTAAATTAATGTTCAAGAACTCTTTGGCCAGAAATATGTCCAGAAGGTCAAATATCTGTCTGGCTAAAATAATATGATAAGAGGTCATTCTGTACAGTAACTTAATGTTAAAGAACTCTTTGGCCAGAAATATGTTCAATAGGTCAAAAAAGGACTCTTGTATGGCTGAAGTAACCTCAAAAGGAGTCAATGAGTATGTTTATAAAGTTCGAGATCTAGTACTCGTGGGCCAGAACTTTGTTCGTGGGTCAAAAAGGAACCTCTGTATAGCTTATATAACATCAAAAGGAGACTATCAGTTTATATTGTTTAAAACCTTTTGAGGACCCTTTGACCAGAAATGAGTTCAATAGGTCAGATATGGACATTCTATATGGCTTAGGAAGCATCAGAAGGATGAGTATGTAAAGAAAGTTCAAGATCAAGTACTCTTGGGCCAGAAATATGTCCAGTAGGTCAAATATGTGTCTGGCTAAAATAATATGATAAGACGTCATTCTGTACAGTAACTTAATCTTCAAGAACTCTTTGGCCAGAAATATGTTCAATAGGTCAAAAAAGGACTCGTGTATGGCTGAAGTAACCTCAAAAAGAGTCAATGAGTATGTTTAGAAAGTTCAAGATCTAGTACTCTTGGGCCAGAACTATGTTAGTGGGTCAAAAAGAAACCTCTGTATAGCTTACATAACATCAAAAGGAGTCTATCAGTTTATATTGTTTTAAACCTTTTGAGGACCCTTTGACCAGAAATGAGTTCAATACGTCAGATATGGACATTCTATATGGCTTAGGAAGCATCAGAAGGAGTTTATGAGTATGTATAGATAGTTCAAGATCAAGTACTCGTGGGCCAGAAATATATCCAGTAGGTCAAATATCTGTCTGCTATAATAATATGATAAGAGGTCATTCTGTACAGTAACTTAATGTTGAAGAACTCTTTGGCCAGAAATATGTCCAGTAGGTCAAAAAAGGACTCGTGTATGGCTGAAGTAACCTCAAAAAGAGTCAATGAGTATGTTTAGAAAGTTCGAGATCTAGTACTCGTGGGCCAGAACTATGTTCGTGGGTCAAAAAGGAACCTCTGTATAGCTTATTTAACATCAAAAGGAGACTATCAGTTTATATTGTTTAAAACCTTTTGAGGACCCTTTGACCAGAAATGAGTTCAATAGGTCAGATATGGACATTCTATATGGCTTAGAAAGCATCAGAAGGATGAGTATGTAAAGAAAGTTTACATACTCATCCTCTAATTTACTGTACAGAATGACCTCTTATCATATTATTATAGCCAGACAGATATTTGACCTACTGGACATATTTCTGGCCCACGAGTACTTGATCTTGAACTTTCTATACATACTCATAAACTCCTTCTGATGCTTCCTAAGCCCTATAGAATGTCCATATCTGACCTATTAAACTCATTTCTGGTCAAAGGGTCCTCAAAAGGTTTAAAACAATATAAACTTATAGACTCCTTTTGATGTTATATAAGCTATACAGAGGTTCCTTTTTGACCCACGAACATAGTTCTGGCCCACGAGTACTAGATCTTGAACTTTCTAAACATACTCATTGACTCATTTTGATGTTACTTCTGCCATACAAGAGTCCTTATTTTACCAATTGAACATATTTCTGGCCAAAGAGTTCATGTACATTAAGTTGCTATACAGAATGACCTCTTATCATGTTATTTTAGCCAGACAGATATTTGACCTACTAAACATATTTCTGGCCCACGAGTACTTGATCTTGAACTTTCTTTACATACTCATCCCTCTGATGCTTCCTAAGCCACATAGAATGTCCATATTTGACCTATTGAACTCATTTCTGGTCAAAAAGCCCTCAAAAGGTTTTAAACAAAATAAACATAGACTCCTTTTGATGTTATATAAGCTATACCTTTTTGACCCACGAACATAGTTCTGGCCCACGAGTATTAGATCTTGAACTTTCTAAACATACTCATTGACTCCTTTTGACGTTACTTCAGCCATACAAGAGTCCTTATTTGACCTATTGAACACATTTCTGGCCAAAGAGTTCTTGAACATTAAGTTACTGTACAGAATGACCTCTAATCATATTATTTTAACCAGACACATATTTGACCTACTGGACATATTTCTGGCCCACGAGTACTTGATCTTGAACTATCTATACATACTCATAAACTCCTTCTGATGCTTCCTAAGCCATATAGAATGTCCATATCTGACCTATTGAACTCATTTCTGGTCAAAGGGTCCTCAAAAGGTTTTAAACAATATAAACTTATAGACTCTTTTTGTGTTATATAAGCTATACAGAGGTTTCTTTTTGACCCACGAACATAGTTCTGGCCCACGAGTACTAGATCTTGAACTTTCTAAACATACTCATTGACTCATTTTGATCTTACCTCAGCCATACACGAGTCCTTTTTTGACCTATTGAACATATTTCTGGCCAAAGATTTCTTGAACATTAAGTTCATGTTCATTATGTTCAATAGGTCAACTAAGGACTCGTGTATGGCTGAAGTAACATCAAAAGGAGTCAATGAGTATGTTTAGAAAGTTCAAGATCTAGTACTCGTGGGCCAGAACTATGTTAGTGGGTCAAAAAGAAACCTCTGTATAGCTTATATAACATCAAAAGGAGTCTATAAGTTTATATTGTTTAAATTCTTTTGAGGACCCTTTGACCAGAAATGAGTTCAATACGTCAGATATGGACATTCTATATGGCTTAGAAAGCATCAGAAGGAGTTTATGAGTATGTATAGATAGTTCAAGATCAAGTACTCGTGGGCCAGAAATATGTTCAGTAGGTCAAATATCTGTCTGGCTAAAATAACATGATAAGAGGTCATTCTGTATAGCAACTTAATGTACATGAACTCTTTGGCCAGAAATATGTTCAATTGGTAAAATAAGGACTCTTGTATGGCTGAAGTAACATCAAAATGAGTCAATGAGTATGTTTAGAAAGTTCAAGATCTAGTACTCGTGGGCCAGAACTATGTTCGTGGGTCAAAAAGGAACCTCTGTATAGCTTATATAACATCAAAAGGAGTCTATAAGTTTATATTGTTTTAAACCTTTTAATGACCCTTTGACCAGAAATGAGTTTAATAGGTCAGATATGGACATTCTTTATGGCTTAGGAAGCATCAGAAGGATGAGTATGTAAAGAAAGTTCAAGATCAAGTACTCGTGGGCCAGAAATATGTCCAGTAGGTCAAATATCTGTCTGGCTATAATAATATGATAAGAGGTCATTCTGTACAGTAACTTAATGTTCAAGAACTCTTTGGCCAGAAATATGTCCAGTAGGTCAAATATCTGTCTGGCTAAAATAATATGATAAGAGGTCATTCTGTACAGTAACTTAATGTTCAAGAAATCTTTGGCCAGAAATATGTTCAATAGGTCAAAAAAGGACTCGTGTATGGCTGAAGTAAGATCAAAATGAGTCAATGAGTATGTTTAGAAAGTTCAAGATCTAGTACTCGTGGGCCAGAACTATGTTCGTGGGTCAAAAAGAAACCTCTGTATAGCTTATATAACACAAAAGGAGTCTATACGTTTATATTGTTTAAAACCTTTTGAGGACCCTTTGACCAGAAATGAGTTCAAAAGGTCAGATATGGACATTCTATATGGCTTAGGAAGCATCAGAAGGAGTTTATGAGTATGTATAGATAGTTCAAGATCAAGTACTCGTGGGCCAGAAATATGTCCAGTAGGTCAAATATGTGTCTGGTTAAAATAATATGATTAGAGGTCATTCTGTACAGTAACTTAATGATCAAGAACTCTTTGGCCAGAAATATGTTCAATAGGTCAAATAAGGACTCTTGTATGGCTGAAGTAACATCAAAAGGAGTCAATGAGTATGTTTAGAAAGTTCAAGATCTAATACTCGTGGGCCAGAACTATGTTCGTGGGTCAAAAAGGAATCTCTGTATAGCTTATATAACATCAAAAGGAGTCTATGTTTATATTGTTTAAAACCTTATGAGGGCTTTTTGACCAGAAATGAGTTCAATAGGTCAAATATGGACATTCTATGTGGCTTAGAAAGCATCAGAAGGATGAGTATGTAAAGAAAGTTCAAGATCAAGTACTCGTGGGCCAGAAATATGTTCAGTAGGTCAAATATCTGTCTGGCTAAAATAACATGATAAGAGGTCATTCTGTATAGCAACTTAATGTTCAAGAATTCTTTTTGCCAGAAATATGTTCAATAGGTCAAATAAGGACTCTTGTATGGCTGAAGTAACATCAAAAGGAATCAATGAGTATGTTTTGAAAGTTCAAGATCTAGTACTCGTGAGCCAAAACTATGTTAAGTTGGTCAAAAAGGAACCTCTGTATAGCCTATATAACAACAGACCTCTGTATGGGTGATTTAACATCAGAAGGTGTCTATAAGTTTATTTTGTTTAAAACCTTTTGACGACCCTTTGACCAGAAATGAGTTCAATAGATCAGATATGGACCTTCTCTATGGCTTATGAAGCATCAGAAGGAGTCTATGAGTATGTATAGAAAGTTCAAGATTAGGTACTCTTTGGCCAGAAATATTTTCAGTAGGTCAAATATCTTCCTGGCTAATAAAACATCATAAGTAAATCTCTATGTATAGTAACCTAATGATCAAGTACTCTTTGGCTAGAAATATGTTCAGTAGATCAAAAAGGTACCTCTGTATGGCTGAAATATGTTCAGTTTGACAATTATTTGTCTGGCTAATATAACAAAATAAGAGGTCTTTCTGTAGAGTAACTTAATGTTCAAGAATTATTTGGCCAGAAATATATTCCGTAGGTAAAATAAGGACTCTTGTATGGCTGAAGTAACATCAAAAGGAGTCAATGAGTATGTAAAGAAAGTTCAAGATCAAGTACTTGTGGGCCAAAAATATGTTCAGTAGGTCAAATATCTGTCTGGCTAATATAACAAAATAAGAGGTCTTTCTGTATAGTAACTTAATGTTCAAGAATTCTTTGGCCAGAAATATGTTCAGTAGGTAAAATGAGGACTCTTGTATGGCTGAAGAAACATCAAAATGAGTCAATGAGTATGTTTAGAAAGCTCAAGATCTAGTAATCGTTGGCCAGAACTATATTCGTGGCTCAGAAAGGAACCTCTGTATAGCTTATATATCATCAAAAGAGTCTATAGTTTATATTGTTTAAAACCTTTTGAGGACCCTTTTACCAGAAATTAGTTCAATAGGTCAGATATGGACATTCTATATGGCTTAGGCAGCATCAGAAGGAGTCTATGAGTATGTATAGAAAGTTCAAGATTAGCTTGGTCCAGAAATATGTTCAGTAGGTAAAATAAGGACTCTTGTACCGCTGAATTAACATCAAACGGAGTCAATGAGTATGTTTAGAAGTTCAAGATCTAATACTCGTGGGCCATAAATATGTTCAGTAGGTCAAATATCTTCCTGGCTAATAAAACATCATAAGAAGTAAGTATCTATGTATAGTAACCTAATGAAAGTACTCTTTGGCTAGAAATATGTTCAGTAGATCATAAAGGTACCTCTGCATGGCTGAAATATGTTCAGTTGGTCAAATATCTGTCTGGCTAATATAACAAAATAAGAGGTCTTTCTGTATAGTAACTTAATGTTCAAGAATTCTTTGGCCAGAAATGGAAATGCATGCGAAAGCACATATTTTATATGTTTTCATTTCACAGAAGTTAGTTCTTTCTTGCAATGCAATGCAACTGTTAAAAATGCTATCTCTTCAATGCACTACGGAATGCGTTAGTTATTTCATGCATTGCACTGTACATATCTTATATATTATTCTTTAATGCACAACGTTAGACGTGTGTGCAATGCAAGCATGTCGTTTCTTCGTTGAACTAAGAAATTAGTTGGTTATTGTATGCATTGTAAAGCAACAGCTAATGCAACGATTTCTCTTCATCACACAAATACAACAGCTAAATGCAATGATTTTCCTTCAGTTAAACAACTGAATAAGTTAGTTGTAGTGTGAAAAAGCATGCGAAAGCACAGGTGTTATTATGGTTATACTTCAATGCACAACGTTTGATCGTATATGCAATGAATCCAAAAGCATATGCATTGCACATATTCGTTGCACAAAGGAACGAGTTAGTTATTATGTTATATGCATTGTATAGTTATATGCATTGTAAAGCGACCGCTCATGTGATGTTTTCTCGTCAGTACACAAATAAATTAGTTGTAGAATGGAAATGCATGCGAAAGGACATATGTTATGTCTTTTCATTGCAAAGAGGAATAAGCCAGATATTTTATGCATTGCAACAACACACGTTATCTATTCAATGCACTACGGAATGGGTTACTTCTTGAATGCACTGAACTGCAAAAAAGTGCATATTACTTATATGTTATTCTTCAATGGACAACGTTTGATTGTATGTGCCTTGCGACCGCTCATGTGATGTTTTCTCGTCAGTACACATATGAATTAGTTGTAGAATAGAAATGCATGCGAAAGCACATGTTATGTCTTTTCTTTTCATTGCAAAGAGGAACAAGTTAGATATTGCATGCAATGCAATCAAACAACACACGTTATCTCTTCAATGCACTATGGAATGGGTTAGTGCTTTAATGCACTGAACTGCAAAAAAGTGAATATTACTTATATGTTATTCTTCAATACATAACGTTTGATCGTATGTGCAATGCAATCCAAAAGCACATGCATTGCACATCTCTTCGTTGCACAAAGGAACGAGTTAGTCATTGTATGCACTGTAAAGCGACCGCTCATGTGATGTTTTCTCGTCAGTGCACAACTGAATTAGTTGTAGAATGGAAATGCATGCGAAAGCACATGTTATGTCTTTTCTTTTCATTGCAAAGAGGAACAAGTTAGATATTGCATGCAATGCAATCAAACAACACACGTTATCTCTTCAATGCACTACGGAATGGGTTAGTGCTTTAATGCACTGAACTGCAAAAAAGTGCATATTACTTATATGTTATTCTTCAATACATAACGTTTGATCGTATGTGCAATGCAATCCAAAAGCACATGCATTGCACATCTCTTCGTTGCACAAAGGAACGGGTATGCATTGTGAAGCGACCGCTCATGTGGTTTTCTCTTCAGTGCACATATGAATTAGTTGTAGGATGGAAATGCATGCGAAAGCACATATTGTTAGGTGTTTTCTTTTCATTGCACAGAGGAATGAGTTAGTTATTGTGTGCATTGTAAGGTAACAGCTAATGCAAGGATTTCTATTCATCACACAAATGCAACAGCTAATGCAATGATTTCCCTTCAGTCGCACAACTGAATAAGTTAGTTGTAGTGTGGAAAAGCATGCGAAAGCAAAGGTGTTATTCTTCAATGCACAACGCTTGATCTTATGTGCAATGAATTCCAAAAGCACATGCATTGCACATCTTTTCGTTGCACAAAGGAACGAGTTAGTCATTGTATGTAAATTTGAGCTCTTGTTCCTCTTTGCAGAGGGGACCGCACTAAGTCGGGACACATTCTGGGCGACGCACAACGTCGTGATCAGCCTGACATGCAGGACACTAAGAACATGTCTCCGGCCCCCTTCGCTCTCCTCAGACTGCTCACACACATGTCCATGCTGCTGGGAGCTCAAAGCAACACACAGGTGTTTATATATATATATTTATGAAAGTATGCTTATTTTGGTTTGGGGTATTGATACATGCAGGGCTGCTAACTCTCACATGAGACTCACGCAATTGACACTTTTCTCATGCTCTCACGCCACACATCCATTTTCTCACGCAAAGAGGACACCGACAGAAAAGGAGGGTTACTTTGATATGAAACAACAGCTCAGTTTTCCACTTATGTTAATTTTATTGCGAAATTCAAGCAATAAATACTGTTTTGGCGCTCTTAAACATGACAGCTCGTTGTAGCGCCTCAGTTACGGCACGTGAACTGATCATCTCTTCCTCTTTACTACTATTTAATAGAAATTAAACATGAATGAACATTAGAAGGTGAAAGATAGTGAATGTTGGAAGGTAAATGTTGAAAGATACAGTACAACGTACCGAAACGTAACATGTCACATGTACTTGATCAATCAGTGTTTCAAACGTGGAAAGATCTCAATAAAACAGTCTATAACAGCAATTCCCAAACTGTGGTCCGTGAGGGTACTGCAGGTGGTCCGTGGAAAGGCAAAATAAAATATAAAATAATATTTTTTTACCTTCATTTTACCAGGAAATTCCCACAAAAAATAAAAAGTAAAAAGAATATGAAGGCCTATATTGATATACATTTTAAATTAGATTTAAAACAAGAGTCAGAGGCAGAGGTTACCAATAATGGTAATTATCATCACATCACACGCATAGCCTTTATAGGCAGTTTATATGAAACGAAATGTTTATAAAATGGAATGAATAAGGCCTGTTGTTATTTTAATTTCCAGTTCGTTTCTTGATCTCGCGTTTCTGAAATGTTTTGCGGATGTGCTGTTAAAGGTTGCATCAGCGATTTCAGGCCCAGAAATAAATGATCACATTCATCTAATCTTTCCTAACGATCAGTTAGCTGCCCGCCCCATAAGCAGGCTGTCAAAAAAACACGTCTCTGTAGACAGCCTAGGCTCTGAGATCTGCACACAAAAACAAATGGATACAACCACCACTCAAAACCAAAATAAACAGTGTTCCAACCAATCACCGATAGGGGCGGGTTTTGTGAGGTTTTGCGCTCGTGCACGGCTGGACGCGAAGTCGGAGCAAAACCCGCCCCTGTCGGTGTCAGAGTGTTTTGCTAAATATATGCACTATATTACATGTTTATTATATTTTTACACGTATCATTCAAATAGTATAACATTATTATTATAAAAAAACGCATTATATTAATTTGAGTTGTTCATTTAAACCTCTAATAATAATACCAGCTGACATGGCTCCCTGATGTTCACAGCATTAGTTGAGAGATTAGCTCCTTAGCAAAATTAACATGTAGCTACTGTACCTGATATTTATCCAAATTAATCAATATTGAATCAAGATCGCAAGCTTATGAATTGAAATCTTGAATTTTGTGTCAAGCACTAATAAAAACAGTAGCCTACCAGTTATTTTACAATGTAAACAACTAAACTTAATAAAATTGTTTAGTTACCAAATGTTTTAACAATCACAATACAAATTATTATGATGCAAGTCCTAAATCCATAATTCTTACTCGATGCTAAACTTGGTAAATTGGCATCCCTGTACATGTAAATCATACAGACATTGAGTTATCTCTCAGACAACTCAATCCAGATCAGATACACACATGTGTTTGAAGAACTGCGGAGTTGCTCATCCCATGTTTTTGCATGTGTGTGTCTAGAGTGTCGTGCAGATCATCAAGCCTGCAGTGCTGGATCCTGGTCCGTTCCTGATGCGCCATCTTCTGAAGGACATGGAGCAGCTGAGCAGAGCTCTGGGTAAAGGAGTGGATGATACGGTCAGTACTGTCCATTTGACCATCCACAGTCTACTGGAGCCCCATCCGACCAGCCAGTGTAAGAGCCCACACAACATTTGACACATGCCATATTGAGCTCTTGCTTCAGAAATTCAAGAAATGTAACATTTTGTTATTCTAAACAGGGCCTGTTCTTTATGATCAAAACCTTTCCACTAAAGATGCAAGAAATGCTTGGGAAACTGCCATGGATACTGATGTCATCGCACATCAGCTGAAGGTAAACAACATGCCATCTTTTAGTAAGTCATAGCACCCAGAATGAACAATGCAACTTAAAGTTCTTTTTTTCTTGGTTAATTTAGCTGTGTTTATCATGCTTGATTTTTATTTCCATCATTTTTTTTCTTTTGTCTAAAACTAGTTGACAAATTTATTGAGAATAAAAAATAAGCTTTTTTCTTTGTTGACTAGTTTGATCACATAACATAAAGCAGAAGCTGTGTGGGCGATTCAGAGCCGTTTCATTAATGACCTCATTAGTCGAGTACTTCTAATGACCGCTAGATTAGCTGATTATTTGAAATGATTATTAGTTGAAGCTCTGCTTTCCATTATTTGATTTTTCTTTTTCTCTCAGGTTTTGGAGCATCAGCTAAAGGAAGTGAACGCGTTCGTCAGGGAAGATGAGCGAGTGTCTTCCAATCCGGTGATGAAGTTGACATTTGGGGAACCAGGGCTTTTCCTGCGTTCTCTGCCAAAGAAATCCCTCATCCATAATTCATCCATCTGGAGCTGCCGGAAGAAGGTCTCGATGTTGAGTCTGACACACATTGTGGAGCAGAACAACGGCCGGGACACTTTGCCTGTGTTCTGGAGGTTCCTTCAACGGGTAAGATATCCATCAACCAGAGTGTTTCTCTCTCTGTTGAACAACCAGAGACTACAGCTACTTCCTAGATGGATTGTTTATGTTGTGTAGCCAGACTTTTGGCTATTAGCAGTAGGGTCGCAACAGATTGCAGTTGATCCGTGATCCGTACAGACCCGACGGTTCGGCACGCATGTGATTCGCGGATTAATTGCTGAGTTTAGCCATTACAGAGTGAAAGTTTATCATTTGCACGTGTTTTTTCTTGACAATTTACACATTGAAGCGATTTTAAACCATTCAAGCACAAGAAGAGGTGAAAGAGAACTCAACTAGCAGTGTTATCTGAGCGTACAGTCGTACACACCCAAAGCGCACACACACACACACAAATTCCTCTTTCACATCTCCTTGTACTTTAAGAGACTCATACACACAAAACTATGTTAAAATGCCCATCTCGGCAAGTATTCTCGTAAAAGCAGTCGGTTATGTCTTAAGTGAATGTGAAAAGTTGAGAAAGAAATCGGTTGTGTATCATTATATTTGGATCCGTTTATTAGGTCTTAAAGTGACAGCAGCCTATAAATATCTGCTGCTGTCTGAGTCATTCATGTCAATCAAACAACAAAACACATCTTTTACAAAGCAGGGTTCCAGACTGCGACCATTTTTTTAGAATGTGCGAGTTAAAATGTTATGTGGTCGCATTTGTGCGAGTGGACGCTTGAGCAACAGAACGCCGTTGTATCAGCTGCTGCAGTCCGTAACTTATGTTCAAAATGAACGAGTAGGCTACATCATGAATCCATTTTCCAAACAGTGTTTTTGACTTATTCTGAATCACTACGGTACGCCTATAATAAGTGTTTATATTCGGACTATTTTATCCCGGGCTCGGCTCGGCTGCGGAGTAGCCCAGTGCCTGCGTGACTCGCCATAGACATTAACGGAGAGAAGTTCCGTTTACAATGTTCTTCCGCAAGACACGTGCAGTTTATTTATTGATGAACGTAGATGTCACGCGCATTGCACACTGATGGTGAAACGCGCCAATTACGAATTCACGAATTAAGGCATATAAAAATGGTCTCACGAAACACAAAGCCCCTTCCTCCTGTATACGTCTTTTCAGCGGTTATACTTTCCTCTGTCGAGCGATTACTCTCATGATCGCTCGACAGAGGAAAAGGAAATTATTATAAAATGCAGAAGGTAAGGAGTGTGAGATTTCTGCTTTTTGTTAGAACTATAAACTTTGATAACGAAAAATCTGTATCAGTTTATTATAATACTCTAATCTTTTAAAATGTAATGCATACATTTGAATGTTTAATGATTTTTAAAAGATAGAAAGATGATAATAGACAGATAGATAGATAGATATATGATTCAAATGTAAATAGATAGATTGTATATAATTCAAATGTAAAATGCTTAAAATTACAGATTAAAATTACTGTCCAAAATCCATGAAAATCCTGAAATTGGCAATGATAATTAATATATTAGGTATTTCTGCTGCAACCCAGAAAGCCTTTGCTAGCCTTTGTCCATTAAAACCACTATTCATCAGCATGCATTGATTGCATGGCATGTAGCAAAAAAAAAAAGAAAAGAAAAAAAGGTGCGACCAAATCATATGCTGGTGCGACCAACTGAGAAAGTTGGTACCACCAGTGCGACCAGTGGAAAAGTTAGTCTGGAGCCCTGCAAAGATTAATCTATATGTAATTTATACAGTGAAAGCTACAGTGTTATTTTACATTTAATGATTACATTTCGGTACCTGAATACTGTTAGACATTACATTATTTGTAACTTCGTTATGTTGTATTTATCTATACTTGTAATTTGTGTATTTGTTCTTATGTTATTACTGACTGTTCACAGAATCTGCCCTCCTTAAGGTTTTTAATGATGTTTTATAGATAGCAGTTGATTCTGGAAAGGTAGTTATCCTTATTTTACTCTGTCTCACATCCGCCTTTGAGTCTACTATTTTATTATGGTATTTTATTGCGCCGTTTTGAAGATGTTGGCATTAAGGGAACCGCCTTAGACTGGTTTAAATCATACTTGAAGGAAAGATCATTTTTGGTTTGCATTGGAAATTTGCATTCTACATCATCTAATTTACATTGTGGTGTGCCACAGGGTTCCATACTTGGGCCTATTTTATTTTCTTTATACATGTGCCCTTTGGGCAATCGTAAATACAATATTATGTATCATTGAAACACAGATGACACTCAGTTATATATTTCAATAGATCCGAAAGGCTCTCAATCTTTTGATGCACTTGTATCGGCTTTGGTTTTAGATAAACAGGTCACTAGTGTTGTTAAGGCTGGTTTTTATCAACTCAGAGTCAGAACTATTTCTAAGCTGAAACCAATTCTCTCCTTTAAGGACCTGGAGACTGTTAGTCATGCATTCACTGTTAGTCACGCATCACATATTAATTACTGTAATTCTTTATATGCATCTCACAGGGTCAATTATCTCGTCTACAGTTTGACTCGTACAAAGAAGAGAGAGAGAATTACTCCGTTTTGGTTTCTTTACACTGGCTTGCCGGTAAAATTCAGGATTGAGTTTTATGGTTTTTAAAGCGTTGCATGGTATTGCCCCAAAATATATTGTTGACCTTTTGATACCTTATCAAAACACAAGAAATATGAGATCTTCTAGTCAAATGATTCTTTGTTCCTAAAACTAGATTAAAGTCCAAAGCTTATGCACATTAAATCTTCCCCATCTGTGGATGCTCTTAAGTCTAGTTTGAAGTCGCATCTTTTTAGTATGGCTTTAAGAGCTGATTGAGTGAGCAGGATTTAATTTGGTTTGTGTGACTGTATGTAATGGCTTTTGTTGTATTATCTACGCTGGAAGCACTTTGGTCAACGGCAGTTTTAAATGTGCTATAGAAATAAAATGTGTATTGTATGTTAACCAACTGTTTATTTTAGGAAGCAGAGCTTCGGCTGGTGAGGTTCCTGCCCGACATCTTGGCTCTCCAGAGGGATTTGGTAAAGAGGTTTCAGAACGTGACAGACCTGACCTACAGCACCATAGGAGAGTTCCTGCACAGCCAGAGAGCAGGTACTGCCCATATCACACATTAAAGAGATCATTTGCCATCGGGTCAGTGTGGGTCATTCATGATTGAGTTACGATAAATGAATTGTTAATTATTTCAGGAAGCTTGCTGATGGTTGATTTACCCATTTCAGCTCAAATGTGCTGAGCAATCATGCAAGCATATGCCATTTCTCTAGAAATATAATTACGTTCATTGCAAACACAGTGATAGTGCCATGTTTTCATTCAACAGCTTCCTTCTCGGCCTGGTATGAAAAGCGCATAAAAATCTTTTTGTCAACATGGAACCAAATCAGGGTGTCTCTGGCTACCACAGGTGAGTGCCACTACTTAACAGTGACAAGAATACAACTGTGAACCCTTTGAAAAGAACAGGATTTCTGCATTGACTACTCATAAAATGTGTTCTGATCTTCATCCAAGTCACAATTGTAGACAAACACAATCTGACCCAAAAAGGTGTACTTTTTCAAAATTGTATTGAAGACACTGAGAGATCATTGACAGAGCAGACTGGATAAAGTAAGTGAACCTCTGTGTTATGAGTTATGACTTCTCCAAAAGCTAAATGGAGTCAATTAAGGAGATGAGATTGGAAGTGCCCTTTAAATTAAAGGCACAAAATCATTAAAAATGCTTTAAAGACATGCACAAAGCTGGACAAGGCTACAAAAGCATTGCTTAAGACCTGGCTGTTTATGAATCCACGGTTAGATACCCTGTCTACAAATATAGAAAATTCTGAACTGAGTTTTTATTTCCAGACAGTCTAGACTGATTTTTCCACAATACACTGTGAGTGATTACTTAATATATTCAGTAAAAAATGTGAAAAGGACAGTTGTTTGTACGTTATTAGTCAGATTGTCATAGTCTATAATTGTGACATGGATTTCTGAATGAGGTCTGATTTCAAATTGCCCCTGTTTTAACCACCGTAAAGTAATTCATGGACACAGATGTGTTTTATTGTAATGTTTTATTGTGTGTGTCAGGAGAGCTGAAGCTGCCGGCTGACTACACTCAGGAGGATCTGGGTCTGGACGCTGACCTGCAGGTTTTGCTGCCTCAGAGACACGGTCTGGGCCTGTGCTCCACTGCGCTCGTCAGCTACCTCATCACGCTTCACAATGACCTGGTGTACGCGGTGGAGAAACACACCGGAGAGGAGTCTGGGTAAGAGCTTCAGCCGCTGTTCCGTGGCATTCTGGGGTTACTGCTCACGTAGGGTTATTGAAACCCATAACCCAAGTTTTAATCTTCATGGCGCAACTCTTCCTATAACGTTAGATATGGGAGATATTTAAAATCATGTGGCTTGTGGATTATAACTATTACTTTTCTGAATGATCGCACTTACGATTTCCACCTAGCATGTATATGAGGGAAAAAAACCACAGACTTGCTGGTCTAGACCAGTGTTATTTAAATGGCTGACTGCGATATATCATATTGATATCAGTTTCTCCCATCTGGACCGCAGGACATAACTGCGCCATTTTACCGTTTCTATGGATTAAAGTGAGCAGTAACAGAGTGGTTCACACCACAAGCACTCAGGGTTGATTATGGTAATGATCTTTCGAAGCTATATCTATAATATTTTTGTGTAGAGCCAAAAGTGGTTAATTCAAGCCCTTTCCGCTCCATACACATTGCTTTCTCCCAATAAAGACGATAAAGCAACACATTAAGACCTGCAGTTATTTTCACAACAGTAGCAGAAACACGGTGAGCAGCAAAACTGATACTTTCTCTAAAACACTGCAGAAAACAAGAATGCAGCTAATACAATTATTTGTATCTGTCATACAGATGACTCTGACCGTTTAACTAACTAACTAAACCAAGGTAATGTGTGGCATCTTTAGATGTTTTTTTCATACATTTAGCATTATTAATCGACATATGAAGAGCATTTCATAATAAACAATGTTAGATTTTGGAAAATTATTTAGAGATGGCAAGAAAAACTTTTAAATTACTAGTTAACTTTGTTTTGTCCTCATGATGAAAGTTGATTATTAGATTATGTACGTTGTTTGTTTTTAATAGTTTATTACTTTGAGCAAAATCTAAAAATGGTCCATACTTGAATGCCGGGGACACACTTAACGACTAGCTGAGACTGAACTGAACACACTTACAGACTTTTTAACGACTGCAGCAGATTTTAAACACCGTCTGAGAGCAACTGTCTCTGACTCAGCGTGTTTGGGCATGATCAGTCGTAAGTAAAATAAATACATAAAAAAATAGCCTGTTTAAACATCTGATCTAACCTTTTTATATTCATATCCGGTTGGGAGAAATATTTACTTTTTTTGGTAAAAATTCTTAGACATCACTGGGCTCTTTGGGCCCAAGATGCTCATCTCTGATGACTATTTTGAGTGTTTAGGTTTTTTGTTTTCTTTTACAAAGTACTACTATTGCCTCGATGGAAAAGTAACTAAAAAAGTGTTGTCCGGACAATAAGTAGGAAAGTAGGAGATATAGAGACCGGACCTCTTTGAACTTAAATTGAATACCCCTGGTTAGACAATATTAGTGGTGTGCTCTTTTGACTTGGGCTAGTAAACAACCACCCAGAACATCCTTGCGACCACATTGCAACACACACACATAAAAGCATGCGGATCTCTGTCTGAACCTTTGCCCTGTCAGAGCTAGCAGTTAAAGTTTTCCCCGTTTCTCCAGCTCATCCTCTGCCCTGTTTCTTCCAGTTACACGGTGAGCCCAGCGGACCTGACGGATCTGCACGTGATCCGCTACGAGTACGAGCGAGACCTGCTGCCGCTGGTGCTGTCCCACTGCCAGTACAGCATGGAGCGCGGGCAGGAGACCCTGCTGGAGTACGACCTGCCCCAGATCCAGCAGCAGATCCTGACCCGCTTCCTACAGGGCAAACCACACATCACCATTAATGTATGTCACTGCACCACTGACACACATCACCATTAAAGGGATACTTCACCTCTGGAAAGATGAGTGTGTATTTGAAATGGGTATTTATGTAGAAGAAATGTGAGATTATTTTTGAATTTGGAGCTTTCTAGACTGAGAAAAGCCAGAAAATGTATTTTTGGCTTATGTGGATGAAAGACAACAACTCCCAGAATGCACTTGCTTCGCTGCCCTAGGAGGCCACGCTTACCGGTAACAGAGCGCAGTAGTTAAACAACAAGTCTAGGCTACTAGTGAGTCTCCGTGATGAGTCTGCCCGGGATTTCGAGATCGCCCAAAATGTCCGGGATTCGGCTTTTGCGTTCTACAGTCGCCATTCATTATGTTTACTGTGGCGAGCAGTACGAGGCTGGGGCCGCGGGAGAACGGCGCGAGGCCGGTGGCGTGATTACCAATGAGCGACACCTGTGAGACGCACCGGTCTCGTATCTCTCATGGAGGAGCGGGAATTTTCTTAGCAATGTTAAAACGCACATCAACTGATCACTTGTTTAGCGTTCATGTAAACACTACATTCAGATTCACCAATCGGAATGAATTCAGTTCGATTGAAACAAAAGGTGTGCATGTAAACAATGAATGGCGACTGCAGAAAGCAAAAGCTGAATCCAGAAAATTTGGTAAGATCTCGACCGCCAGACATGTCCGGGAAAAAGAGGATGGTAACCCCTACTACTCAGCTTTCTCCTACTAAGTTACTCGGGTTTCTCCACAGAACAAGAGCCTGCTAGCTTAGCTTCCAAAAAAGATTGCTGACACTATGTGTACATTCTGTAAGTGAGATCCCACCCTCTATGGGCGGGTTGAGAACATGCGGGACAGCCCCTACTACTGACTGTAGTCTTTAGCCTCTGGCCAAAATACATAAATCTCTCGTCTCAGGGGGATATGAGGGTGGAAATCACGGTAATTTGAAAATACTACAGGTTTTCTACTAATACTAAGCTTAATGCTAAATACTGAAGTATCCTTTTAATATACGTCACTGCACCACTGACTCACATCACCATTAATGTACGTCACTGCACCACTGACACACATCACCATTAATGTACGTCACTGCACCACTGACACACATCACCATTAATGTACGTCACTGCACCACTGACACACATCACCATTAATGTACGACACTGCACCACTGACACACATCACCATTAATGTACGACACTGCACCACTGACACACATCACCATTAATGTACGACACTGCACCACTGACACACATCACCATTAATGTACACACATCACCATTAATGTACGTCACTGCACCACTGACACACATCACCATTAATGTACGACACTGCACCACTGACACACATCACCATTAATGTACGACACTGCACCACTGACACACATCACCATTAATGTACGACACTGCACCACTGACACACATCACCATTAATGTACGACACTGCACCACTGACTCACATCACCATTAATGTACGTCACTGCACCACTGACACACATCACCATTAATGTACGACACTGCACCACTGACTCACATCACCATTAATGTACGACACTGCACCACTGACTCACATCACCATTAATGTACGTCACTGCACCACTGACACACATCACCATTAATGTACGTCACTGCACCACTGACACACATAACCATTAATGTACGTCACTGCACCACTGACACACATCACCATTAATGTACGTCACTGCACCACTGACACACATCACCATTAATGTACGACACTGCACCACTGACACACATCACCATTAATGTACGACACTGCACCACTGACTCACATCACCATTAATGTACGTCACTACACCACTGACTCACATCACCATTAATGTACGTCACTGCACCACTGACTCACATCACCATTAATGTACGTCACTACACCACTGACTCACATCACCATTAATGTACGTCACTGCACCACTGACACACATCACCATTAATGTGCGTCACTGCACCACTGACACACATCACCATTAATGTGCGTCACTGCACCACTGACACACATCACCATTAATGTACGACACTGCACCACTGACTCACATCACCATTAATGTACGTCACTGCACCACTGACACACATCACCATTAATGTACGTCACTGCACCACTGACACACATCACCATTAATGTACGACACTGCACCACTGACACACATCACCATTAATGTACGACACTGCACCACTGACACACATCACCATTAATGTACGACACTGCACCACTGACACACATCACCATTAATGTACGTCACTGCACCACTGACACACATCACCATTAATGTACGTCACTGCACCACTGACTCACATCACCATTAATGTACGTCACTGCATCCCTGACTCACATCACCATTAATGTACGTCACTGCACCACTGACACACATCACCATTAATGTACGTCACTGCACCACTGACACACATCACCATTAATGTACGTCACTGCACCACTGACACACATCACCATTAATGTACGACACTGCACCACTGACTCACATCACCATTAATGTACGTCACTGCACCACTGACTCACATCACCATTAATGTACGTCACTGCACCACTGACACACATCACCATTAATGTACGTCACTGCACCACTGACACACATAACCATTAATGTACGTCACTGCACCACTGACACACATCACCATTAATGTACGTCACTGCACCACTGACACACATCACCATTAATGTACGTCACTGCACCACTGACTCACATCACCATTAATGTACGTCACTGCACCACTGACTCACATCACCATTAATGTACGTCACTGCACCACTGACACACATCACCATTAATGTACGTCACTGCACCACTGACACACATCACCATTAATGTACGACACTGCACCACTGACACACATCACCATTAATGTACGTCACTGCACCACTGACTCACATCACCATTAATGTACGTCACTACACCACTGACTCACATCACCATTAATGTACGTCACTGCACCACTGACACACATCACCATTAATGTGCGTCACTGCACCACTGACACACATCACCATTAATGTGCGTCACTGCACCACTGACACACATCACCATTAATGTACGACACTGCACCACTGACTCACATCACCATTAATGTACGTCACTGCACCACTGACACACATCACCATTAATGTACGTCACTGCACCACTGACACACATCACCATTAATGTACGACACTGCACCACTGACACACATCACCATTAATGTACGACACTGCACCACTGACACACATCACCATTAATGTACGACACTGCACCACTGACACACATCACCATTAATGTACGTCACTGCACCACTGACACACATCACCATTAATGTACGTCACTGCACCACTGACTCACATCACCATTAATGTACGTCACTGCATCCCTGACTCACATCACCATTAATGTACGTCACTGCACCACTGACACACATCACCATTAATGTACGTCACTGCACCACTGACACACATCACCATTAATGTACGTCACTGCACCACTGACACACATCACCATTAATGTACGACACTGCACCACTGACTCACATCACCATTAATGTACGTCACTGCACCACTGACTCACATCACCATTAATGTACGTCACTGCACCACTGACACACATCACCATTAATGTACGTCACTGCACCACTGACACACATAACCATTAATGTACGTCACTGCACCACTGACACACATCACCATTAATGTACGTCACTGCACCACTGACACACATCACCATTAATGTACGTCACTGCACCACTGACTCACATCACCATTAATGTACGTCACTGCACCACTGACTCACATCACCATTAATGTACGTCACTGCACCACTGACACACATCACCATTAATGTACGACACTGCACCACTGACTCACATCACCATTAATGTACGTCACTGCACCACTGACACACATCACCATTAATGTACGTCACTGCACCACTGACTCACATCACCATTAATGTACGACACTGCACCACTGACACACATCACCATTAATGTACGACACTGCACCACTGACTCACATCACCATTAATGTACGACACTGCACCACTGACTCACATCACCATTAATGTACGTCACTGCACCACTGACACACATCACCATTAATGTACGTCACTGCACCACTGACTCACATCACCATTAATGTACGACACTGCACCACTGACTCACATCACCATTAATGTACGACACTGCACCACTGACACACATCACCATTAATGTACGTCACTGCACCACTGACACACATCACCATTAATGTACGTCACTGCACCACTGACTCACATCACCATTAATGTACGTCACTGCACCACTGACACACATCACCATTAATGTACGACACTGCACCACTGACACACATCACCATTAATGTACGTCACTGCACCACTGACACACATCACCATTAATGTACGACACTGCACCACTGACACACATCACCATTAATGTACGTCACTGCACCACTGACTCACATCACCATTAATGTACGTCACTACACCACTGACTCACATCACCATTAATGTACGTCACTGCACCACTGACACACATCACCATTAATGTGCGTCACTGCACCACTGACACACATCACCATTAATGTACGTCACTGCACCACTGACACACATCACCATTAATGTACGACACTGCACCACTGACTCACATCACCATTAATGTACGTCACTGCACCACTGACACACATCACCATTAATGTACGTCACTGCACCACTGACACACATCACCATTAATGTACGACACTGCACCACTGACACACATCACCATTAATGTACGACACTGCACCACTGACACACATCACCATTAATGTACGACACTGCACCACTGACACACATCACCATTAATGTACGTCACTGCACCACTGACACACATCACCATTAATGTACGTCACTGCACCACTGACTCACATCACCATTAATGTACGTCACTGCATCCCTGACTCACATCACCATTAATGTACGTCACTGCACCACTGACACACATCACCATTAATGTACGTCACTGCACCACTGACACACATCACCATTAATGTACGTCACTGCACCACTGACACACATCACCATTAATGTACGACACTGCACCACTGACTCACATCACCATTAATGTACGTCACTGCACCACTGACACACATCACCATTAATGTACGTCACTGCACCACTGACTCACATCACCATTAATGTACGACACTGCACCACTGACACACATCACCATTAATGTACGACACTGCACCACTGACTCACATCACCATTAATGTACGACACTGCACCACTGACTCACATCACCATTAATGTACGTCACTGCACCACTGACACACATCACCATTAATGTACGTCACTGCACCACTGACTCACATCACCATTAATGTACGACACTGCACCACTGACTCAAATCACCATTAATGTACGACACTGCACCACTGACACACATCACCATTAATGTACGTCACTGCACCACTGACACACATCACCATTAATGTACGTCACTGCACCACTGACTCACATCACCATTAATGTACGTCACTGCACCACTGACACACATCACCATTAATGTACGACACTGCACCACTGACACACATCACCATTAATGTACGTCACTGCACCACTGACTCACATCACCATTAATGTACGTCACTGCACCACTGACTCACATCACCATTAATGTACGTCACTGCACCACTGACTCACATCACCATTAATGTACGTCACTGCACCACTGACTCACATCACCATTAATGTACGTCACTGCACCACTGACACACATCACCATTAATGTACGACACTGCACCACTGACACACATCACCATTAATGTACGTCACTGCACCACTGACACACATCACCATTAATGTACGTCACTGCACCACTGACACACATCACCATTAATGTACGTCACTGCACCACTGACTCACATCACCATTAATGTACGACACTGCACCACTGACTCACATCACCATTAATGTACGTCACTGCACCACTGACACACATCACCATTAATGTACGACACTGCACCACTGACACACATCACCATTAATGTACGTCACTGCACCACTGACACACATCACCATTAATGTACGTCACTGCACCACTGACTCACATCACCATTAATGTACGTCACTGCACCACTGACACACATCACCATTAATGTACGACACTGCACCACTGACACACATCACCATTAATGTACGTCACTGCACCACTGACACACATCACCATTAATGTACGTCACTGCACCACTGACACACATCACCATTAATGTACGTCACTGCACCACTGACACACATCACCATTAATGTACGTCACTGCACCACTGACTCACATCACCATTAATGTACGTCACTGCACCACTGACACACATCACCATTAATGTACGACACTGCACCACTGACTCACATCACCATTATTGTACGACACTGCACCACTGACACACATCACCATTAATGTACGACACTGCACCACTGACACACATCACCATTAATGTACGACACTGCACCACTGACACACATCACCATTAATGTACGTCACTGCACCACTGACACACATCACCATTAATGTACGACACTGCACCACTGACTCACATCACCATTAATGTACGTCACTGCACCACTGACACACATCACCATTAATGTACGACACTGCACCACTGACTCACATCACCATTATTGTACGTCACTGCACCACTGACACACATCACCATTAATGTACGTCACTGCACCACTGACTCACATCACCATTAATGTACGACACTGCACCACTGACACACATCACCATTAATGTACGACACTGCACCACTGACTCACATCACCATTAATGTACGACACTGCACCACTGACTCACATCACCATTAATGTACGTCACTGCACCACTGACACACATCACCATTAATGTACGTCACTGCACCACTGACTCACATCACCATTAATGTACGTCACTGCACCACTGACTCACATCACCATTAATGTACGTCACTGCACCACTGACACACATCACCATTAATGTACGTCACTGCACCACTGACACACATCACCATTAATGTACGTCACTGCACCACTGACACACATCACCATTAATGTACGACACTACACCACTGACTCACATCACCATTAATGTACGTCACTGCACCACTGACTTACATCACCATTAATGTACGTCACTGCACCACTGACTCACATCACCATTAATGTACGTCAGTGCACCACTGACACACATCACCATTAATGTACGACACTGCACCACTGACTCACATCACCATTAATGTACGACACTGCACCACTGACACACATCACCATTAATGTACGTCACTGCACCACTGACTCACATCACCATTAATGTACGTCACTGCACCACTGACACACATCACCATTAATGTACGACACTGCACCACTGACACACATCACCATTAATGTACGTCACTGCACCACTGACTCACATCACCATTAATGTACGTCACTGCACCACTGACACACATCACCATTAATGTACGTCACTGCACCACTGACACACATCACCATTAATGTACGTCACTGCACCACTGACTCACATCACCATTAATGTACGTCACTGCACCACTGACTCACATCACCATTAATGTACGACACTGCACCACTGACACACATCACCATTAATGTACGTCACTGCACCACTGACACACATCACCATTAATGTACGACACTGCACCACTGACACACATCACCATTAATGTACGACACTGCACCACTGACACACATCACCATTAATGTACGTCACTGCACCACTGACACACATCACCATTAATGTACGTCACTGCACCACTGACACACATCACCATTAATGTACGTCACTGCACCACTGACACACATCACCATTAATGTACGTCACTGCACCACTGACACACATCACCATTAATGTACGTCACTGCACCACTGACACACATCACCATTAATGTACGACACTGCACCACTGACACACATCACCATTAATGTACGACACTGCACCACTGACACACATCACCATTAATGTACGACACTGCACCACTGACACACATCACCATTAATGTACGTCACTGCAGCACTGACTCACATCACCATTAATGTACGACACTGCACCACTGACACACATCACCATTAATGTACGTCACTGCACCACTGACACACATCACCATTAATGTACGTCACTGCACCACTGACTCACATCACCATTAATGTACGTCACTGCACCACTGACTCACATCACCATTAATGTACGTCACTGCACCACTGACACACATCACCATTAATGTACGTCACTGCACCACTGACACACATCACCATTAATGTACGTCACTGCACCACTGACACACATCACCATTAATGTACGACACTGCACCACTGACACACATCACCATTAATGTACGACACTGCACCACTGACACACATCACCATTAATGTACGTCACTGCACCACTGACACACATCACCATTAATGTACGACACTGCACCACTGACACACATCACCATTAATGTACGACACTGCACCACTGACACACATCACCATTAATGTACGTCACTGCAGCACTGACTCACATCACCATTAATGTACGACACTGCACCACTGACACACATCACCATTAATGTACGACACTGCACCACTGACTCACATCACCATTAATGTACGTCACTGCACCACTGACTCACATCACCATTAATGTACGTCACTGCACCACTGACACACATCACCATTAATGTACGACACTGCACCACTGACACACATCACCATTAATGTACGTCACTGCACCACTGACACACATCACCATTAATGTACGACACTGCACCACTCACATCACCATTAATGTACGTCACTGCACCACTGACACACATCACCATTAATGTACGACACTGCACCACTGACACACATCACCATTAATGTACGTCACTGCACCACTGACTCACATCACCATTAATGCAGTTATTGTGGAGTTCTGCAGAGTAGATCTATTAGAAAAGTTGTATTTGCTGATTTTTTTTATTCTCGTTTTGTTTTTCAGGGGATTCCGACATTGGTGAACAGACAGGACAGAAATTATGAGATCATATTGAAAGATGTGAAGGGCAAAGTTCAACAAGTAAGTTACATTATTTGTTTTAGCATGATACAGGTTTAATCTGTATCTTATTGAATGCTGGATTCTGATTGGTTGACGGACGTTCTAACGTGTGCGATAGAGTGCAATATCACCCATTTTCAGCAATGCTGGCTTGGTTCCGGAAGTATTTTTTCCATTCATTTCTCCCATAGGGATTTTTTAAAAAGTCTTCTTTTCACGCATTATCAGCCATGAACCAAGACAAGCCTATTTTAAGAGCGTAGAGAGATCACTTCGATTATGTCATTCGCAGTGATTCATGGGAGTGGTCGGAGCTAATGATATCTTTTGCAGCTTGTTTTGACTATGATTCGTGAAAAGTTTTATTCCTTATTGTGTACATATATTGCACATACATATTCCCATATAAATGTGAATGTATGGTCACACATGTATATACACACACATTCACGGAATGAGATACAACAGATTTCTAGTTCCTAGCATGCTTTGCTTCTGACTGTTAAAGGAGAGCAAATGTTAAAATTAAGTGTTATTTAATGTGTATTGCTCAATATTAATATAGGGGGAGATCTGATAGTGTTTAATGTTCTATTATTTTGGAATTTAACAGGTTTTCTGGTATGTGTGAGTTTTTGGGGTCATTGTGCTGACGAGTAGAGCCTGTGGTTCGGTTGACGATTGGCCGAACACCATTAAGAGTATAAGCTTTATTGTGAAAATGCTCTTAATTAACATTTCTGTTGTTTAAATGCGCCTTTCAAACTGTATATTTAATGAAATCAGTGTTCCACTGCAGAGATATATTTGTGAGATGTCCTCACGCGGTGTTGTGTTGTGTGTGGCAGGAGCCGTTGCAGCCGCTGACGCAGCACGACCTGGTGAAGGATCTGCAGTCCTACAGTGACGTGTGTGAGGCGCTGTCCACCGTCCAGCTGGCCCTGGGGTTCCTCGCCATGACCGGGGCCGACCCACACATGCAGCTGAGCTCCTATCTCAAAGAGGTGCTGCAGATGACGGACCACATGGGCTCACACATCTACAAGGTTGGTCATGAACACACACTTTCTTTATTATTGGACTGCGCTGAGCTGCGTTTCCCAAAAGCATAAGTTGATCGTAGAACTATTGCCACCAATGGTCTCCACAATGGTCTAAAGTGTAACGATACCCTCATTCGATACATCTCACGATACTGAACTCACGATACGGTATTATTGCGATAATCCAAGACATATCATATCAGACATATCATATCAAAGGCTAGCAAGAAATGTTCTGTTGATTAAAATGCTAAATTTGGTTTTACATTGTGTGTGTAAATGAATAGGCTTGGACTTGGTGCTGAAACCCAAAGCACAGGACAATAGAGACACCAGAATAACAATATTCATTAATTCTGAAGCTGAAAACAGAATTATTTTAGATGAATATGCTTGCACTCTTTCACTGACTAGATATATATATTTAAAATAATGTAGGACACTTTTTACTGGTAACATCAGACATTTGGAATTATCAGGACCCACAAATATTCCCCCATTGTATTATTATGCATTATATTCAACATTATATAGTAGTTTAATGTAGTACTGACACTAAAACTCTGAAAACGTGCATTTTTTTTCTCACAGTAATTTTTATTTTGGGTGAACTATACACAATATGTATCGTGGATAGTGACAATATGTATTGTTGCATTTTTGTATTGCGATATATTGTGTCACCCCTAGTCTCTCCGATCAACTTACGATGCTGTTGGGAAACGCAGCCCAGAGCAGTGCTGTTTCTAGGATTTGGGATGCACATAAATTTTGCCTACCGGAAATTTGCAGCCAAAACAGCTATTTTCAGTTTTGGGCCGAAATGGTTTTTGAAGGCCAAACAGATGTTTAATTAGATGCTGAACATAGTCAAAATGTGTCATAAGAGATGCGATATTTCGTGCACAACGTGGATAAGCCACAGCAGTTAAACATGCCAGCTGTGTGGACACTAGCTCTGGATTGTTTAGCTCTCGATTTTAAACGATAACCATATGGTTTTTTAAATCTAAAGTCTTTTAGTCTCTGCTGACGAGTGAACAAAACTTCACTAAATATTTGGAGTGTGCCTGCTAATAATCACAAAAACCTTTAAATTTCATAATGAAATCGACAGAGCATAAACAATAAATGTTGTGGTAACACTTTACAATTTGGTTCGTTAGTTAACATTAGTTACCATTAACTAATAATGAGCTGCACGTATACAGCATTTATTAATCTTTGTTAATGTTAATTTCAACATTTACTAATACTTTATTAAAATCTTGTTAACATTAGTTAATGCACTGTGAACTAACATGAACAAACAATGAACAGCTGTATTTTTTATCAACTAATATTAACAAAGATGAACAAATACAGTAATAAATGTATTGTTCATCTTAGTTAATACATTAACTACTGTTAACTAATGAAACCTTATTGTAAACATCCTCACAGCAGTGTTTACTCGTTTTTATGAAATTCAACTAATTGACGACTCTGACCCAATCCCTAATCTGTGTGTGTGTGTGTGTGTGTGTGCAGGCATTGAGCAGGTGCAGTCTGAAACACTGTGTGGCGCTGTGGCAGCTGCTCAGCTCTCTGAAATCTGAGACCATGATTCGTCTGAAGAGGGTGAGACACGCAACACACTAAACCGTATTCTGCTTCGAGTGTGTGTGAGAATGACTTTCTTCATCTGCACTTCAGGACCCGTTTGTGGGAATCAGCAAAGAGTACAAGCATCCTCTGCAGGAGGAACACAAGACCCTGCTCACGAGTTTCTTCACCAAGTCCAGCGCTGACGCCTTCCTGTTGGAGATGCACGAGTTCCTGCTCCTGGTCCTGAAGAGCCCGAAGGCCCCGGACACCTTCAAGGCTGACTGGGGGTGAGACCTGGCGACGGGATAACAGTCGCTCTGATTTTCTTCTGATGTGCAGAACTAATGAGTTTTTTGGAGAGGGTTCAGTTTTGCCTCAGTTCATGATTTACATATAATTCCTAAATTACAGGTGTATATAAATACATATAAATGTCAAAACTTTTCATTCCTATTTGAGAGATCTGACCAAATCTGTCAAGTGTTCTGAAAAAGTGGATAACTGTATTTTTGTATTTATTTATTCATGAAGCTGTTTCATGTCCTGTTTGGTAAACCCTGTTTGACATAAAGACAGCGACCCGGAGCGCACCGCATTAAATCTACTACATCAGGGAAACTCAAATGATTTATTTTCTCATGTAACGCAAGCAATCAAACCAACATTATGACCAACATTATGACGTAATTACTCAATATAGCCTACTAGCCGAGACTCTTCTTTATGTGTACAGATGTGGCGTAATGACTCAATATAGTCTACTAGCCGAGACTCTTCTTTATGTGTACAGATGTGACGTAATGACTCAATATAGCCTACTAGCCGAGACTCTTCTTTATGTGTACAGATGTGACGTAATGACTCAATATAGCCTACTAGCCGAGACTCTTCTTTATGTGTACAGATGTGGCGTAATGACTCAATATAGTCTACTAGCCGAGACTCTTCTTTATGTGTACAGATGTGACGTAATGACTCAATATAGCCTACTAGCCGAGACTCTTCTTTATGTGTACAGATGTGACGTAATGACTCAATATAGCCTACTAGCCGAGACTCTTCTTTATGTGTACAGATGTGGCGTAATGACTCAATATAGTCTACTAGCCGAGACTCTTCTTTATGTGTACAGATGTGACGTAATGACTCAATATAGCCTACTAGCTGAGACTCTTCTTTATGTGTACAGATGTGACGTAATGACTCAATATAGTCTACTAGCCGAGACTCTTCTTTATGTGTACAGATGTGACGTAATGACCCAATATAGTCTACTAGCCGAGACTCTTCTTCATGTGTACAGATGTGACGTAATGACTCAATATAGTCTACTAGCCGAGACTCTTCTTTATGTGTACAGATGTGACGTAATGACTCAATATAGTCTACTAGCCGAGACTCTTCTTTATGTGTACAGATGTGACGTAATGACTCAATATAGCCTACTAGCCGAGACTCTTCTTTATGTGTACAGATGTGACGTAATGACTCAATATAGCCTACTAGCCGAGACTCTTCTTTATGTGTACAGATGTGACGTAATGACTCAATATAGTCTACTAGCCGAGACTCTTCTTTATGTGTACAGATGTGGCGTAATGACTCAATATAGCCTACTAGCCGAGACTCTTCTTTATGTGTACAGATGTGACGTAATGACTCAATATAGTCTACTAGCCGAGACTCTTCTTTATGTGTACAGATGTGACGTAATGACTCAATATAGTCTACTAGCCGAGACTCTTCTTTATGTGTACAGATGTGACGTAATGACTCAATATAGTCTACTAGCCGAGACTCTTCTTTATGTGTACAGATGTGGCGTAATGACTCAATATAGCCTACTAGCCGAGACTCTTCTTTATGTGTACAGATGTGACGTAATGACTCAAAATAGTCTACTAGCCGAGACTCTTCTTTATGTGTACAGATGTGACGTAATGACTCAATATAGTCTACTAGCCGAGACTCTTCTTTATGTGTACAGATATGACGTAATGACTCAATATGTCCTACTAGCCGAGACTCTTCTATATGTGTACAGATGTGACGTAATGACTCAATATAGTCTACTAGCCGAGACTCTTCTTTATGTGTACAGATGTGACGTAATGACTCAATATAGTCTACTAGCCGAGACTCTTCTTTATGTGTACAGATGTGACGTAATGACTCAATATAGCCTACTAGCCGAGACTCTTCTTTATGTGTACAGATGTGGCGTAATGACTCAATATAGCCTACTAGCCGAGACTCTTCTTTATGTGTACAGATGTGACGTAATGACTCAATATAGTCTACTAGCCGAGACTCTTCTTTATGTGTACAGATGTGACGTAATGACTAGGGGTGTGACGGTTATTATATAACCGTGAGACCGACGGTTATAGTTGAACACCGTCATTAGAACTCTATAACCGCCAAAACCGTGCTATTAAAATATTTTTTACAAACATTTTTTATCATAGAGAATGTTTAATTACTAATATCAGCTTAAGAGGGAAACGGAGGCTGCTACTGCTGGAGATGATTCGGGAGAGGTCTGTCTGTACTTTACCGATCAGAGCGCGCGCTGACACGGAGTAAAGCCTTGTTTATACTCGACGCGTCCGCACGAGCGCGAAGGTGAGCGCGGCAAAAATGACGCGTTCGGTCGGTGCGCAAGACCGGCAAGACCCCATTTGGCTTGGCTGTGTGCACGGCTTTTTTTGTAACAGCGCGCGCGGCGCCGCGTCCGAGGATGACCGACTTCAAGCCGAATCTGCCCGAGCATGCACGTCTCACCGCACCGGCACGCAGTTTGCGCGTCCAAATTGCAAAGTTCATTCCAAAGTTTTTTCGTTAAGGTTTTGTTTACTGTGTGTGATTTATTTAAAACAAAGCACGTTCATTGCAACGTTTGTTTGTTTGTTTGTTTGTTTGTTTGTTAAGGATTTGTTTACTGTGTGATACATTTAATGGAAATGTATCAAAACCACGACGACGGTTATGTTACGAACCGTCACATTTGACTCACGTCATAACCGTCATCACCAATTCTGAAACCGGCACACCCCTAGTAATGACTCAATATAGTCTACTAGCCGAGACTCTTCTTTATGTGTACAGATGTGACGTAATGACTCAATATAGTCTACTAGCCGAGACTCTTCTTTATGTGTACAGATGTGACGTAATGACTCAATATAGCCTACTAGCCGAGACTCTTCTTTATGTGTACAGATGTGACGTAATGACTCAATATAGTCTCAATATAGAAAGGTTCAAACAACAATCACCAATGACAACAGATTCACCCGCTGCAAAATGCAAAAGACTTCGTTCGGACTTCGGAGTGGCTACAGAAAAAAAGAGACTGCAACCGGACCCATGCGAAAACATGGATACATATCAGAAGGACATTACATGTAGTCGCGCAATGCTGACGTTGTTAACATTAACAATTTGAGAACAAAGTATAATTTGCACGGTTTTGCGTGATATGATAAGCGATTGTTAGATTTAATCAGTGCGATTTACTGCAATGTCAGAACCAGAACACAAGTGGATGTTACTTACTTGTTCAGATGACATTTTCCGGTGAAAATTATTATGTTGAATTCGTATGCTGTGATTCTTAATGCCAGTATCCACACCGGCGCGGTGACTGACAGCCGCACACTCTCCTCAAACACTGTGTTCATCCGCGCTGTGCCGTGTCGAGGGTGTCGAAGTACAACTCACGTAAAGATGATAATTCCGCTAATAATTGCAATTGCAGATTTCGAACAGAGACGGCGACAAAGAGGAAAAACTGCGGACTGCAGCTTTAAATTACTAAATTGACATACAGTTTGGTGGGGAATATGGGGAAATATTCATATTCTACAGGAAACCTGGTTAACTTGTGCTCTAAAGCTCTTGCTGAACTGATGTAAATCTGTACTAACTCCGTGATGTGTGTGTCTGCAGTCTGAAAGACACGGTTGTGTCCTACATGGAGCGCAAAGATCTGGACATTCCTCCTGAGGTGGACGAGTTCTTCCCTGAAAAGATCCTGCTCTCGCAGTACACCGACACGTGGAAGTTCTCGGTCCATGTCAGACAAGAACGACACCAAAGATGAAGAGCTCCTGTTGTCTTACCTAATCACTCGTATCAGGGAAAGATTCGGTTTCATTTACAAATGCCATACTCATTACAGACTTTCCAAAACTGTGCCTTTTATGCACCTGAGTTACAGTGTATGAGGTTCAGTGTTCTGCTGTATATTTACTCGTTCATATACAGCTCTGTGTACTGTCATATTATTCGCTCTGTCAAAGTAGTCTTTGATCTTTTGATTTTGATTGTAATAAGTTGTGATGTACTTGCTTAAAATCTTTTCAAAGTTCAAAACAATCATGAATCCATTGATAAACTTGTGCTGTAACTTTTTTCTTCCAGGTTTGGGAAGTTGCTAACAATTGTATTACCATTCCTTCTTTATTTGTATACTTGCATATAGACTGATTTAAGGATGTGAACTCGTTTGAGATGTAAACTGCACGCATGAGCCCAGAACCGGACGCTCTTATGTCCTCACCAACCTCCTGTTTTTTTGCACTTTATCTTGTTCTCTGCTGAAAACAATGTTTCTGTGTACCAACACATATGCTGGAACAATGCTGTGTGCAAAACTGTGTTTGTTTGTCTTTTTCTATGATAAACATGGGTTTGAATAAAGTTATGTAATATTTGGGTCAGATCATGGTCACATGTTCTCCTGTCTCGTCCTGACAGTTTAATATTAAAAGCTGCTTGTCTGAAGGTTATGGTTTCTTCTCTTCTGTTTCTAGCTGTTACTCTACCTAACCCTACATTTCTTGTGCAATGTCCTCAAACAATAAATGAGGAGAGGATGGAAAAAACAAAAGCAGAAATAGGTTTAATTATATAATCTCCATCCATCTATTCCAAACCTCACTTGTCATATGTAGGGTTGTGGGGATTCTTCATAAATGGATGGTTGGCTGGCCATTTGAGCCTTTCTATATTTTTGTATGTTTCCTGAGGTAGACTTATGATGTTAGTAAGGTTTTTACATATAAAAAATCTCATAATTTAGAAATGCAGTGTTCTACCCTGATTTTAGCTCAGCGATACCAAGAAACTCAGTCGTGGATCCATCGACAGGCACACATTCTGACAATTTAATGCAATTCACACATCTTTGGTGTGAGGGAAACCAGATATAAGGGTATAGACGTTCTGGCTCAGCTGGGACTCGAACCAGAACCTTCTGTTTCCCACTGTTTTTAATATCAGACATAAGAGACGGATACTTGTTAACAGCACTGGGTTCCTTCCTAGTGTTAAATTACTCTCTGTTTATATAATCCACACTCACAGTGTTAAAGTTAATGAGATAAATAACGGATTGAGTTCTGATTGAGAATTAGTGATGAACACCTGCTGTTAACAAGCAGAATCACTGAAGGAAAGAGAAACAAGAACAGAAAGAGATAATCAGAAACACAATTCTGTCATACGTCTACAGAACTTCAAACTGAACATTTTCAATAAAATCTGTTAATTTTCACATGAAGTCCCCATGATAGAGGTCAGTGTTTGCTTTAGTTAAACCCTTGACTTTTGCATATTAGAGTCTAATCTTTAATTATATAAATAATACATTCCATGTCATTGGTTACAGCAACCCTGGGATTCTGGAGATCCAGCAGTGATAAGATTAAAAAGTTATTTTGCACAAAAAGACATCAAGAATCAGCGTATGAATCTCACAATCAACATAAAGGTTCATGTTGCAATGCATGCTGGGTGTCACCAATCAATACTCATCCATGGCTCCCAGCATGCATTGCGGCATTATTAAAGTATGCAGCTGAATTCTCTTAGTATTTTCTTTTATTATTACTATTTGCTTTTTTTTTGCTGATTTGTTGTAACCTTTTATTGGCTTGTTTTGATATGTTTGGAGTTGATCTGTTTATCTGAATTTGTTAGACATCAAGAATCATTGTATGAATCTCAACAATGGCGACTGTGTGTCTGAATGAAAAAGCAGTTCTAATATATAAGTGCAGAATAACTTTAAAATCAGTAGGCCTGTGATTAATCATAACACTACTGGATCTGTTGAATTATACTGTCAATCACACAAAATTAACAATTAATATAATCAGAGATTAGTGCACCAGGCCACGGCGTGATGGTTATGTCATTATAAACACATAATAAGAAACACCTTATCATATTTTGTCTTGTTTTGTTTTTTGGTATAACAAATGTGTTTTATAAACACTTATAGCAGTAATTTAACACTGAGGGTTTTGCTGTGAACAAGTCTCTGTCTCTTATGTCTGATATTAAGGGCAGTGGCGAAAGGTTCGAGTCCCAGCTGAGCGAGAACGTCTTTACCCTCATATCTGCTGTGCTTTCCCTCACACCAAAGATGTGTGAATTGCAGACACTACATTTTCTATAAGTGTGAATGTGTTTTACTGCCTACAATAAGTGTGAATGTGTTTTACTGCCTACAACCCTCGAAACAATGTTAAATCAATGTTAATGTGTCTGTTAACTGCATTGAATCGACATCACTTTTGCTCCCGCAAGTAATGCTGACATTATTTTTTAAATTTCATCCAAAAATCAATGGTAATGGCATTGAATCAATGTTACAATGTGATGTTGGTTTAACATCATGCTTGCACTCTCAGAAGATGAAACACAACAACTGACTTAAAGCCACACAGCCTGAAATCAAATGGAAATAAAAGAAGACAATACATCTCTGAAGATCTGATTAAACACCTCCACAAACAGCATTACCAGCTCCACCAGACTGACTTTATCTCTGCCAGACGTCAACAGAAGCTCTTATTGAGAATGAACAGAGGTTTAGATGTTATGTTATTTTATTGAAAATGTTTGGTCACCATTACACCATGTCCTTTTTGTGTGAGTTATGGTCTTCGTAACAGTGTTTACCAAAACACATAATATGTCGCAAAGGGAACCAGAAACAAAGATGATCAGGTGATAAAGTTTTCAGCATCATAAAGTAGAATAATCCATTAATCTTATCAATGACCAATAGTGGTTATTTATTATTAATAGAGAATAATTCACAGTGGTTATTTATTATTAATAGAGAATAATTCATTAATCTTATCACTGACCAATAGTGGTTATTTATTATTAATAGAGAATAATTCATTAATCTTATCACTGACCAATAGTGGTTATTTATTATTAATAGAGAATAATGCATTAATCTTATCACTGACCATTAGTGGTTATTTATTATTAATAGAGAATAATTCATTAATCTGATCACTGACCAATAGCGGTTATTTATTATTAATAGATTATTTTCATCAACAAAGTTTTCTTGTTACAGATCAGACTTTATTAAACATATTTTTAGACACAAACAGACATCAAGGATCAGCATATGAATCTCAACAATGGTGACGTGCTTCATGCTGCAATGCATGCTGGGAATGAATATCAACAATCGTGACATGCATTGACATGCTGGGAATCACCATAGTGAAAAGGTCATGGCTTTGCACTATGGTGATTCCCAGCATGCATTGCGGCATGTCAATGCATGTCACAATTGTTGATATTCATATGCAGAATGTCTGATCTGTGGCAAGAAAGTATTGTTGGTGAATATAACCTATTCATAACTGTTTCAAAGACCACAAACTCTTATTAATACAGCCATCTAGTGGCTTTATTGAAATTTCATATTACTTTAATTGTGTTTGGTTTCCAACAGATGGCAGTAACCTCCCTCTAAATCACGGCAGATTTTTCATGTTATCATGAATGAAATTGCTTTCTTCTCGTGTTGGAAGTTCTGTACACAGCAGGAATGCAATAAAAGGCTTAGCAAATAAGCACTAATTTCATTTTTAATGTTTAATGTTCAGTTGGTCATTTAGAGTTGTTTCTGTTATTGAATGTTGTGGTTATCATTGTGCTGAAGAACAAACTGTGATCCCAACTAAACTGAATTAATAATGAATAAACTAAATTAATTTGTGTGTATATATGTCTTAAATTAAATTAATTAAGAGTAATTAATTATTTAATTTATTTACATCAATGGGGAAAACGGGGTTTTCATCATATAAGAAAAAAATTTATATTAAACGTAATTAATGTAATGAGCTGGAGAAATCATGTTATATCTACTGACAGTTGTGCTTCAGTAACACCTTGTTTTTCAAGTTGGTTGAATTCAGTTATAATCAGTAATATTACATCATTTATTTCATTTCAACAAAACCAGTTATTGTAGACGTTACCACATCACGTACATTTGCTAAGTTGAACTGACTAAACATTTTTTTCAGTGTATTACAGAGCAACTTGAATGTAATATTGTAACATGTTTGCATTTATTTCCTTTTTTACAATGTAACCCGTTTGGAACATTTTGATTTCTCCAAAATGAATAACTTTAGTTTAGCAATTCATAACAATCATGTAGAATGATGTAGCCTATTTGGATCAGCCTAGCAAAATGTGATTGCTTTTGCAGATGTCCTGTACTCTAATAAATAACACACACAGAATACACTTGCTCGTTTGATCTTCCTCAACAGTCATTCTCTTTTTCAATGCTGTATCCTTCTGTTTTCTGAGGGTTTTTTTATTATTTTTTTTTAGAATGGGTTTGCGTGATCAACCACATATTACTGGTATTACACAACATTTAGCTTTTGAAATGAACGATGTATCGTTGTACATCATGTATGTTTAATTGACATTTCTTGCAAAGGAGAAATGTTTAAATTAGGATATTTAGTAGTGACATTTTTCTAATGTCTAATAATGTCTAAGTAAAAATGTAAATGGGAAACTTGTGTAAAGATTTATACTTGTATGGAAATGGCAAATACCATTGATGTCATCTAGTGGCTTTAGCTGAAATTGCATATTATTTTCATTTTATAAGCTTTTGATTCGATGACAGCAATCATTGCATACGATTTCCACGAAATCTTAACTCTTTAAACTCTTATAGAAGTGAAAACATATCACAACAACTCTGTTTCATAGATTTCTATTATGAATGTTGTTGTGTTGAGATTTCTTTCAAGAACTAACAAGCAAAGACGAATTATTGCTGTGCTTAGAAGCTCTATAAAACCATTATGAGAACTGTCTTTTTCATTGCAGATATGCTTCAGTTGCACAAGCATATGAGTCTCAATCATGAGTTGCATTGCATACGAGAACTAAATCGCACTTACACATACATGTGCTTTCTTTTTATCTTCCTGCTTTGCATAAAAGTATTCCAATGTA